CTCTCTCTCTCTCTCTCTCTCTCTCTCTCTCTCTCTCTCTCTCTCTCTCTCTCTCTCTCTCTCTCTGGGTCGAGCACTATTGGACTTTGACTTTGACTTTCGGGGACTATTGGATTTGCAAAGTTCTGCATTCGTATTCGTTCTGCGCCACAACGGGGAGACAGCAATATGCTTTCAGCTGAGGCAACTATGTATGAGGCTTGAATATTATACAGGGTGTCCCATAACTGGTAGAATACTACTAATACCCGTTAAGGGTAGGTAGGCGATGAAATTTGGGACTTAAAGTTTTTCTTTCATTTTTGGATCCGACAATTAGTTTATGACATATTAACTAATTAAGTCAATGGATATCATAGGAATCATAGGTTGTAAGGACTATATAGATGGACATGTAACAACAATTTTTAATGCATTATCTATATAACTTGGATTCACTTCATTTTTTATCTAACCATACAAATGTGGTTGTAGCAACCATAACAATTTTCTCCGTACAACATACCTCTGTCTCTTACTTTTGTCTTCAGCCTCCTCATAAGAATGCATAGCCTGTCTCTGTAAGTCTATGACGTCGATGTTCTCGAAGTCGCATCGTCGACATCGTGACTTCGCGCGATTCTCCCAAAAAAGTGAGAAGTATTCGAGGTGCGTTTATATCCCCCGCCAGGTTTCGTGATGGCCCGACGTTGACAACACCATTGAAAACGTCTAATTAACGCGCTGGACAACGAGCAATTAAGAGCCCGACGTGGCGATTTCGCCGTACAACTGAATCAATTAAGAAAGCCGACGTTCATTACTCGATGTTGCGCGCCTGTGTGTGCGCGCGATGTGTATTATCGTCCTTTACTATTAAAATATATTCGACGCGCCGAAAAAGGGTGGAGCCTGCCTCGACCAATGGGCTGTCGTCGCGTGCCTCGGGTCGTTACGGAACCTGCAAATTGATAAGAATGCATCGTCGTGTACCCTTCGGCCCTTCATTAGCCCTCTCTCGCCCCGTCGACGAAGATGTCGGACGCGATGTACATTTTTATTCGCACCCAGGGCGATTGCCTTATCGCCACAGCGCGCGCGCAATGCGTCTGTTCCCGTCGTCTTTCAAGAGGCCTCGCAATTTGTTTATTCTGTAAAATACGAACCCGATCGTACATATGGAGCTAAGAAAACACTTCTCATGTTCCTTCGAGCTGAAAAATTCGAAGTAGCTCGGATCCGCCGACAATGGAGATTCCTGTCTCCAGAATGTAAAAATGTTAATAGGGAAAAAAGAGAGGAGATGTTTGGAGGGCAGGGGGACTCGATGAAATACGTGGAATCCGGCAAAAAAAATGATTCTTTGGGATCGAAATTGATAGGTGCAGAGAGAAAGACGCGATTAAAACGCAGGGAACAAAGGGAAGGAAGGTTGCGTGGTGATTGAACGAAGTCTCACAAGTACAATAACAACTATTTATTTATAGGTAATAATGCTGAATTACAATGAATACACTTCTTGCCTCGATACTAGATTGTATAAGTCCGGTCGCGCGAAATCGGCGTCGCTAGTCGCCGTCGCCGTGACTCGCAGTGGCGACGACGTTTCTTCCCCATTCCCAACCCCCGCCCCGCACTCGCTCGCTCTTACTCCACGCACGCCAGCCACATCAACCACCCCTCGGGATTCGCAGTCGCTTGTCCCCGAGCGAGAACCACCGTTCGACGATCGTCCCGACATCCGTCGTCTGCAGCGGGATGAAATGGAAGCGATTCGGAAACGATTCGATGTTCTTCTCGGCCTCTACCTAGGTTTGTGCGCGATCGTCGCGGCCGAGCGCCGTCGACGTTGGCTCGTTTCTCGCGTAGAGAAATCGGGTCGAGAGTGAGATGGATAGATCGGTCGTTCTGTCTCGAGCTCGAGAGCTAATTTGTACTATCTGACGTCGGCGAAGGTTCTCACGTCGCGATCGTCGTTGCCGATCTCGAAGGTCCCTCCGGCGGTTCTCGATCGCGAGGAGACGCGGCTACCTGCCCCATGCACTCGCCGATAACCCCCTCGGCTCCCTGCTGTTGCTGCTGCTGCTGCTGCTGCTGCTGCTGCTGCTGCTGCCGCTGCTGCTGCTGCCGCTGCTGCTGCTGCCTTCCCCAGTCAATCGGTAGCGGCGATGGCAAATACGGATCAGCTATCGGTGGTTAAATTCTCGTTTCTCTACGTTTAGCATCGTCTTAACGGGCTTTAGCTGGTACGATACTAGACACTATGATTATGTGAACTTTACAACACAAGAACCTTACGGCAAAAGACTTTGTACATGGATCTTAAATACGGGGGACCGCCCCCCTCCCGGGGAAATATCATCCACGACACTTCCCTCATTCCGCGTCGACACAATCGCCGCGCTCGCAGGTTCCGCCGAAATGTTGCTTGCCTTCCTCTCCCCCCCTCCCTCTGGACCTCTCTTTTTCTATATCTATCTGTTTTTCTCAGCACCGTGGTGATTCTCGACCTTCTGTTCAATCCCCTCTTTTTTGCGCGCTCTGCGTCGTGAGATATTTCACCGGTTTGTCGGGCGGTCAACGCAAACGCGGGGCACACGCAATATGGATTAGACTTACTTGTTTCGGTAGTAACTAAGTTATTTATATAAATAAGGTGTTACGATTTAAGACGCTAGGAGAGAATCCTCCGTTGTTTCCGCTTCCGTCATTTTCTCTCTCTCTCTCTCTCTCTCTCTCTCTCTCTCTCTCTCTCTCTCACACTCTCACTCTCTCTTAAATTCATTCTCTCCTCAGATTCATTTTCTTCTTCTCTCCCTCTCTTTCTCTCTGTCTCTTTTTCGCATACACACCACATACATACACATACAGATACACACTCTCTCTCTCTCTCTTTCTCTTCCTCTCTCTCTCCCTTCTCTCTCTCTCTCTCTCTCTCTCACATACACACACACACTCACGCGCATTCTCATTTTCTCCGCCCGTTCTCTCCCTCGCAGTCTCGCTATGTCCCACGTGCTCTCTCCCTTTCTACCTTTCTCACTGCTTGCGTTTGCTCGTCGCGTCATTCTTTCTCTCTCTCCCTTTCTCTCGTTTTCTATGATACAGCGCTCGAGTCGCGGCTCTGATCCTCGCTCCGCGTCCCGGAATCCAGACGAGGAGAGTCCCGTGTCACACTTCCGGTTCCGCTTCGGGAGCATTTTACAAAAAAGACGGCGCATTCCCGGCGCCTTTGTTGCGAAGCGCGATGCACCGCGCCTTCGTCCGACGAGAGAACGGCGTTTCCGGCTGCCATCGCGATCCGCTCGCGATCGATACGCGCGGCACGGATCGACCGGCGTCGCCGAAGACGCCGGTCCCGGGATGTCGAGCGCCTCGGTCGCGACGAGGGCCCGCGACTCGACATTCGTTTCGCAGTTGGCGATCGGGGTCGCCCCCCGCGTCGCCGCGCGCGGCGACGTATATAATAATATTAATAATGATAATAATACTCGAAATCGGCGCGCCTCGCGATGCGCGCCGGCGACGCGGCGCGCCCGATCGCCGGGATCTTAAAAACGATTAGCTAATTAACTCGCTCGATAATTAGGAGATAGGTACCTCTAGGAACGCATGCACGCGCGCACGCACTCTCCAGCAGTCTTTAGAAATATGCCTCTCTTCTCTCCCGTCCCTCGTCGCTGTCTCTTTCTCTCTCTTTCTCTCAGTATCCGTGTGTACCTGTATGTTCTTCATGTGTGCATGTTATGTGTGTGGATAAGTGTATAGAGCCTTGCCGCCCCCTTCGCCCCCAGACTCCGAAACCCTCTCGATTTCTCCTACTGTCTGCTTGCCTACGATTCCGCGATCGTCTCGGTACCGCGAGAGTCACGCGAATTTCGATCATCACGGATCATTCACAGGTAATCGATGGTACGTAACATACAGAGAACGTTCTCTTTCTTTCTTCTTTCCTCTCTCTCTTTCTCGCTTCATCTCGTCGTCGAACGAACGACGCGACTCTACGATCGCCGCGCACGCGAATTGAGAAATCTCGCGGGAAACGCGGCGCCTGGGTGCAGTCGCGTCGTTGATATGTGTGCGACCGGTCCGCGTTCGAGTCGCTGGACCGATCTTCCCAATTCGCGAGGGCCCCGTTTCGTTCTCCGGCGATGGTCGAAACGAGGTCGGCCCCTCGCGTCGATCCCGCGTCGTGTAAACGCCGCTCGCGCGAAATCGCGTAAAGATCGCTCGATTGTGTCCGGGATTTCAAAGGAGAAAGCACCATCCGCGATATATGAGATATTCTCTTTCTCTCTCCCTCTTTCTCCCCTCCCCCTCCTCTCTCTCTCTCTCTCTCTCTCTCTCTCTCTCGCGACATTCGCGCGCGCATTCATTCGCATTGTCATTCGCCGACCTGTGTGAGTCCCCGCGGACACTCGCGCGAGTCCAGCCGTCACTCGGAGCTACGAGGGTCGTCCTGGTCGGCCGATCCGTACGTCCCTCCTCCGTCATGCGGTCGACCATCTCATCTCGCGCGTCTGTTCTTGAAGATTTTGTTCGTTTCTCGTTGTGTAGGTCCGGCTCTTGGAGTCGCGCCCTCTTCGCCCGATCGATCACTCGCTCCGGCTGTTCGCTGCACGCTCTGCCTGCCCTCGCCTGCCCTCGTCCGGCCTCTTCTAGGTCGCGCTCGTGAACAGAACGGAGTTCTTGTAGTAACCCGTTCGCGACTCTGGAACAGAAAAGCGAGTCGCAGGTGCACTCTGGGAGTCCGTGCTCAACACATTCGATTAACATCGCGCGGTATGACTCTGTCGGGATCGCGATCCTTAATGGGAATACGAGAGGGAGAAAGAAAGAAAGAAAGAAAGAATGAGAAGGAGGACCGTGTCTCGCGAATGAAGATGCGTGCGAGAGATGAATGGTCGTGGGCGTAATTCCGCTATGGAGAGACGCCGGAGATTCGGTAGGTGGCTGCGGCGATTCGTGAAGGTGGACCAGCTGGGTCATTCGATGATCGTTCGTTCGGAAGAGGCGCCGCTCACTAATTATCGTTGGCTCTCGAGACGTAGATGAACGCGAGAGGGACGCGAGGTGGATGAAGAGATGGACGAACCGAGTGGAGAAAAAGGGTGAAAGGGCGGCAGCGGCGGCGGCGGCGGCGGGGGGGAGAGGGAGGGGGACAAGAGAATGGGGTTGGGGGAAGAGAGAGAGAGAGAGAGAGAGAGAGAGAGAGAGAGAGAGAGAAAGAAAGAGTGAGTCGGGTTCTATCTCGCGCGCGCGCACGTTCGTAAATACGAGACCGGCCGAGTCATCGGCCTTAGCGCGCTCCTTTGTGATCGAGCCGCCACTCTACTTTTTATCGAACTGTCGCTTATGATTGAAAATCACTATACGTTAATAGTCCGCGTGATTCGGTTTACTCGTCTCTCCGCGCCCACTATCGTCCCGGACCTCTTCAATCTATACTCGTTCCGGCCCCTTCCACTTTGTTTGACTCAACATGCACGCTTATCATTATCTTCTCCTCTCGCACGCCCGTCAAACGCTCAATAAGGGAGGGAATTTTTGGATAATCCGTGCGCCGATAGAATCACCGAGCGCTCTGCACGCAGTTTCGACCGGTCTCTCGCCGGGAATCCACGCGCATCGCCGTCTACGTGAGAATCAACCTCCTTTTTCTCCACTTTTAAACCGCGATTTTGTCCTCGAGATGCCTCTTACTCAATCTCCTCGAAATTTGTCGGGACTGTTGCGTCACGTTCGACCGCAGGGTTCTTTTATTTAACGAAAGAAAAAAACGCTAATCGCTAGCTAATCATTCTTCTCCACGGGGGGAGAAGCTGCACCGTGCGTTCCCTCTTTCTCGTGACATGAAATCCGCGAGTAATATTGCCGCTTCGTAAAAAGCGCACGGCCGAAATTCGGGAGTTGATTTTGCAAGGACGCTGCCAATTAAGAGCCGACTTGTTAATTCCTTTCGAGAAACCCCCGAGCGGGCGGGCGAAAAACGATTATTTACGTGCAACGTCACGCCGGCCGGGGGCCTTGGAGCATCGAAATCGCGCCACGGATATAGTTTTTGCGCGAGTTGGAAACTTCCTTCGGACAAGTTTCCACGAGGAGCGAGGCCAAGTTTCGAATATGCCGGGGCTATGCCGCTGACGCCGCTGCAAGAACCGCCTCGCCCACCCCTCGAGAGACGCGACCGCCCCTGAAGAGTTTCTAATTAAAGATCCGAACTTTATTCCGTATAGCAAGAAATCGCTCTACGCGCACTGCACGAGAACCGCGCGCTCTCTCCTAATAGAAAGAACTCCACAGCGAGAGAGAGAGAGAGAGAGAGAGAGAAAGAGCAAGAGAGAGAAAGAGAGAGAGAGAGAAATAGAGATAGAGAGAGAGAGGGGAAGGAAGGATGTCTCGCAATAATTCGCGCAGAGTTTTCGCGAAGCAATCGGGGAACAATGATGGGAAAAAAGATGCGAGACAATTTCAAATTCTGCGCAGCGTGCGCACACGCGACAACGTGTACTTGGTGTTTCTACTGAACGCACCTTGAAGAGGAGACTTGACTTGGTCCCTCTCGGCCGCTTGGTGCTGCCGCGATTTTCTCTCCAACTCGAGTTCCTGCACCAGCGATTCTGCGACAGAAAAACATAGGGGAAATTGAGAGGCTAAGTAATGCCATTCGCGACAATATGCTCGACAATGCGCTTGACAATGCGGCTTATGTAATGCAACGCTGACTGGTATAAGGCGCGCGCGCGCGATACAGTCTCGCCGGGATTCTCGACTTAAGATTAATATCGGCGTTCTCGGGTAACGCGGTCCGCTGCCTTCGACGTCGAAGGAATCGCCTCGAGGTGAAGTCCGTCGGCTCGCAACGCACACGCGGGAACGCGCGCGGATTCGACGAGGCGTGAACCACGCGCGCCAAGGATGAAACGGAGCAGTAATTAGTGCAAAACCAGCTACCGTCAGCCGCGCGAAAAGGGGGATGGAAAAGGGACGAGCGGGATAACGGACGAAGGCAGGCGTGAAAGGGCCGCGGGTTTGCTCACTGAATTTCGCAAGGATTAGGGTGAAAACTGGAAAATGTCCCTTTAATGATATCGCGCCGAATTAGCCGGGCACATGCGTCCCGCTCCTGCATGCCGCCTGTCCTCTCGAGCGATTTATGCGGCGAAGCATCTCGTTTCTATTGCCTCTTTTTCCTCTTCCTCGACCCAGAATAGAATGGATCACGAGGCTCAATTTTCAATTCGAGAAAGTAACTCGTATTGCAATAAATAATGGTCGATCTTCGGATAATTGATTTTAACCATCGGCGTTCGATTGACAATCGATAAAGCAGTTTTCGGGACGAATTGTAGATTTAAACTGCAAACTACACTAATTGACATTATCAGAGCAGGTGTCGTGAAACTATTCGGAAAGGAATTATGCTGTTTTCCGTGGAATTGATCAGTCAGAGGATAATAATGGATTATCTGTTCATTATTTAATATGTGCTATTATATTTTAGGAACTGAAATGTGCTATTAAAACATTTCCTGTGTTTTTGGCGAAAATTACTATGTTCCTTAGCAAGATGCATGGAAAAATATTTTAATAAAAATGACGTTAAAATTATATTTTTCCTTGAATATTTTTTGTAAAACTAAACTATACCGGAAATGTAAGTATAAATTACTGTAGAAATAGTCAATTTGACGATCTATATAAAACGTACGATATAAAAAACACTCAATAAATTAAAGTTCAATTAAACATTCAATAAATTAACATTCAAATAAAGTAATTTTATAGTAAAAAGCCAAACAGAATATTTTGAAACAAACATACAAACATACTTTGTAATTTTGTATGGCTGCAATTTTGTATGCTTTAAGGTTACAAAAGTGTTGGTGTAATTTTCACTACAATATTTTTTCCGTGTTCAGACCTTAATAACAATCGATTTTTCCGAAGCATTGTTAGAAGCATATTAAAGTTGAAGAGAAAAAGGATTATATATATATATATATATATATATATATATATATATATATATATATGTGTGTGTATATAAAAGAATTATAATATCTCCGTGTAGAAATCTAAGGAATAATTGAACGATTGGGGAGCTTTCCAAACAGTTTCATAACACCCGCTCAGATCCGAGCGAGAAGAATTTCCATCCCCGACACATAATTACATCTCCGACCAAGAAAAGGGAATTCCTCGTAATCCGTAACACCAGCACCGGGTTCACGGATGAGAATCGCACAAAACGAGAGAGTGAGCGGATTAGGCGGCGGGGGAGTATCGCGTAGCGCGCGACGAAGGGACGCGGATCTGATCGGTAAGCGTGAAATGGCGCCTCCTTGGGCAAAGAGCAATGGTAAAATCCAATTGCGAGGCCATTAAGTCCCGGTTAACCGGCGCTCGCGGACGTGCGAGAGGAGTCGGCATCGGCGTTCTCCGTTCCTCCTCTTTCTTGTCTCGCTCCGTCCCGCTCTGTATATCGTCGGTGCCGGTGCCGGGACTAGAGACGGCGGGGCCGAGATTCCATTATGCTTTGAGCAACAATAGCTGAGGGCTGTTTCGTGGCACGTGGGTGTGAATTCGTGCGTTCGTCAGGGCCGTTATATTCCACGACTTTGGGGCACGAAGCAATGTTTGCGTTTCGCTGAGCCAAATTACCTCTCGCGCCCTTATCCGCGCGCGGGGTGTCGCGTCCCTTTGATATCCAAATGACAATTTAACTGCTCCAGATATAACGCCCGCTCGCTCGGCAAACCGCTCGCCAAGGGTAGGCAGGTTAGCTAAAGGTAGGCAAGCAGATACAGATGAGAGAAGTTGGGGAGAGAAGAGAAGGGATTGTAAGGGAAAGGAAGAGAAAAGATGAGAAGAGAAGGGTGGGCACCTCTTGGGCCGCGAAGAGGCCGATTTGAGGAAAGTTTCTCGAGTCATTCGGAACGATCGAGAGAGAGAACACGCCGCGTTCTTCGCGCTTTTGCTGCGTCGAGCCGAGATAAAGAGCGGGAAAAAGTGATTTGATTGATTGTACGCGTCTTTTTCGGGATTCCCGTCATTTTGTTCCGTCGAAGTGGCTGGAATAACGTCCGCGTCGTCGGGTCCATCGGCGTAAGAAAATGATGTGCACGACGGCGACGACTTGGAAATCCGGATTCGCGATTTCTCGCGGGTATCGTTGCGTGCACGGCGTATCGAATGAAGAAAGAAGGGAGCTGGTCGTTCAATCCCGAGGAAGTCCGCGGCCGGCGTATCTCGAGCGTCCAAGAAGAATGAGCCCGCTAATAGTTTCGCTACCGTCTTACACACCCTGACAAATCGTCCGGACAATGAAAACAATTTCAGGCGAGCCCCGTACGGGCCCTTCGCCGGGCCCTAAACGGTTGGTATTGTGCCACTACATCGCGCGCCATATCGGCCCGGCTTTTTGGGGTGGCGACGCGAGGCGAGGGCCCCTAAAAAAGACGTCCGCTGAAAAAGAAGGGCCCCGAGGCTCGCCCCTCTATGACTCCGCATTTATTCGCACGTAATTAACTCCGGCACAATGCGCCGCGAGGAGGCCACCTTGCCTCCAAGTAGAAGAAGAAAACGAACCGAATCGAAACAGAGAACGGCGGACAGAGAGAGTAGAATAGAGGAAGAGAGAGAGAGAGAGAAAGAGTGAACGCGCGAGAGAGGAACACGGCCGCGTCTGAAATTCCGCAAGAACTGGAAAAACTCTCGCATTGTTCGTCTCGGGAACGAGAATTCGCGTTCGCTTGTACGAACTTCATTATTGCAGCGGCATCGTGCGCGACGGAGGCAGAGAGTCCCTTGCTGAAATCCAGTCCGACGAGGAGACTCTTTGCTCCTGCGGCCTGGAGAGGAGAGTGCGCGAAAAACATCAGTAATTCGCGATTGATAAGCGCTCGCTCGCTCGTTCGCGCGAACTCTTCCCTCCATGCACGGAAGTTTTTGCGATCGCGAGTTGCCACATCGATCGCGAACCCTCCTCTGCCTGATCCTCCACGAGGCGACGTCCTTGGGATTTAACCGAGTCCGCCGGCGATGCCGGATATCGAATATAACCGTCAGCGTGATGAGTGCGCTCGACGTGTTTCTTGCGCGAACGACGAAAAAGGCAATTTAAGTATCACATCGGAACGGCGGTAATTGGTTGAATACTCTCTCGCTCTCTCGAGGATCACGAGCCGAGGGTTGGCGACGTTTCGCCAGCCAGAAAAGGACACACGGCGGCTGCGGGGAGGAGGAGACGAGGGAACGCGGTTGAACGCGGGGGCAGCCAGAGGGTTGATTTCGTGTAGCGCGTCGCGTTTTTAATGCTCTGATCTTTATGTAAAGCAGACGAGAGAGGATCTCCTCCCGAAAGGCGGCGGGGACCAGCAGACAAGGAGGGCAGGTGGGGTGAACGGATGACGCGGATAGGGGAGGAAGGAGGGGGGATAGGCGCTTGAGCGTCAAGCCGACCGTGAAATTGTATGAATCAAGGAGCCGCACGAAGTAACGCGGAGACACAAAAAGCGGAGGAACCGGGAAGACAGAGAAAGAGATGGAGGAATAGGTGGAGGCGGGACAGGGGAGGAATGCCGCGATATTCGTGGCTTTCTTCTTCCCTTCGGCGCTTTCGAATCGCGAGACTCTTGTAATTTCAAATTTCCGCCGTCTGCGATCATACGCGCTTCTTCTCCTCCCATCCCTCAGCTGACTACCCCTTTTTGTGCTTCTTTGCATATCGCGAAATCGTAACAAACATCGCGCTAGGGGTGGAGAGAATCTTGTCTCTCCTCGGGAAGCCCTCGTCCTTGACTGGAAACACGCGGGAGAGAGAGAGGCAGGATCTCGAAGTCCTTCGGCGCGATACAAACGCGACGTTAATTCGCGGTTCGGTCGACTTGTGTCGATAAAGCCCCTCGGCGACGTCGTCAATGTCGTTTGAAAAAAGCGCCTATCTAGGGCGATCAATGGGACTCGGTAATTGTTCTTTTTTCCCGCGCGTAAATCTCTCTCTTCAGTATGCCATTCGTGTCGAAGCGCGCCCCGGTAACGAATTTAATCCCCTCGCAATCCGCGCGCGCCTTCCGATCGACACCCGCGGCGGTGCAAGATCAGAAGTCAGGGGCAGAACTGCCTATCGCTCTCTCTTTTTCTTTCCCCCCCTCTCTCTCTCTCTCTCTCTCTCTCAATGATTTGATTAAACAGAAGATGAAAAACAGCGAGAATTAGAGAGGGATGAAACAAGAAGATGCGCTGGCATAGGACCGATTTAAATTACGAAAATTTTAACTGCCAGTGAGCTTCAGGCTCTAGTGCGGTTCGCGAAGCGTGAATTTCACGGTTGATTCTTTCGCCAATATATATCAAGGACCAAACGAAGGTACGACTGAAAAATTCAGGTGCCTGAGGCTGCTCGACTCTATAACAAGAGATAGCACTTTGCACTTGTCCCCGCGTAATAATTGATTTATTCCAGTATATTCCAGTGATCACACGATTGCTATTGCGCCGCTCAAGTGAATCACAATGACGACAAATTGGATTACGTGAACGTTGAGTCAGGGGGACGTGTGTCGGCCGTCGTTCAACTTGAAAAACGTTACGTATCCAGATCGATCTATCCACGACAGCCATTCGCGGACACGCTGATTTTTCGCGACGCGTGAAGAAACGGCGGCGAGGGCAGAAGGAAACTCCCCGGCGAAGTCGTAGCTCGTAATCGCCGCGCGGGGAGGGTCTGGCAACAACCCCAATATTCCTGACAACACCTACTCACACCGCCAGCCACGACCACGCGAGCTACCATCGCGTACAGATAGAAACTCTACCTTTCCGCCCTTCTATCCCCGCCGCCGTCGCCCGCCCTACCCGATTTCTCCTGTCTCGGCTTGTTCGCCGGAAAACCACGTCGTGCCTCGTGGATATATTCAGGGCGAGGGACGTTTTCAAGCCCTCCGCGTCCTGCCCTCCGCCCTGCCCTCGCCCTACCGCCGCCCTGCCGCCCACGTCGACGCGTCGGCTTCCTTCGGCCTTTATATTGCTCGTACACACGCGTCACGCTTTATCACTCTTGCGGGGTTATTGTCTTTCGCGTAATGGTCTACGCACGTGTACGCACAGGTGCGACGCTCGCATTTTCTCGCGTGGGCGGCTGGAAAGCTGGAAATAATCCGGCGTGCACGCGTTCGCGTAGTCGTCGACAGAAAGAGCCGCTTGTAGTCGTCGTCGTCGTCGTCGTCATCATCGTCGTCATCGTCATTGTCGTTCCTGTCGTCGTCGTCGTCGTCGTCGTTGTTGTCATTTTTCTTCCCGAGGCGATACGCTTGATTTGCGAGAGTGAAGTTTAAAACTTTTTACTACTCTCGCGCGGTAAAGAGTGTTAGATTTTTGTTTTGGTTTGCAGAGCGCTGCAGTGTCCAAGGTTAATTCATTCGTGGATGCGCCTGTATATACGCGACGCGTATAAAGACTAAAGAGTTTAACGTTGAAGGACGTTACTACAACCGTAGTTGCCGCATGCTGATGTTGCTCTCGCGCGAGGACGCGTCGATAAAAAATAATATCGGCGCGCCGCCACCGTGTTCCGATCTGTCGGCCAGCCGTTCGGCTGGCTGGCTGGGGCTGGCTGGCTATCGCGATTACTCCCATTCCGAATAATTCCCAAAGACTCGCGTCCATCAAATATTAATGCCCGCGTGGCGATTTAGAGTGATTGCGGTCGCAGGGTGGATGAAGGTACGGTGCACACCGCGGAGCAATCTCGCAAAGTCGGTGTGGGTGTGTTCGAGCGTGCCACGTCTTCGTGCGGTGGAAGAAGCACGTTTCGAGCGGCAGAGGAAGAGAAGTGGAGGAAACGGGAAAGGAGAGGGGGGAATAAACGATAGAGACGGCGAAGCTGAAGAGACGATGGGTGCGAGCGGGAGAATGGCAGGAGGGACGAAGTAAGAAGGCGGCGAGGAAGAGAGAAAGCGAGAGTGCTGCAAATCGGAAGGGAGGCAGGACAGAGGCACGGCTAGAGTGAAAGAGAGGAAGAGAGAGAAAGAGAGAAAGGGGCGGAAGGGGAAGGAGGAGGTTATGGTTGCTGCGAAATTATTGCATATAGTCTGAATATTAAAGCGTGGCGGAGTGCTTCGTCGTGCTCCGCGGATGGTGGACGTGGAGGAATCGCGCGTCGTGCATACGCGCACGCACACACGTACACGCGGCCGTGGTATGCATGTACGTGTACGCACGAGAGAGAAAGGGAGGAAGAGGGCAACGATGCGAGGAGGGGGACAGGGGGCTGGAGGAGGTTTAAGGGAAGCGCGGAGGGAACGAGCGCGAGTGGAAGAAGGAGGGAGGACAGGTAACGCCACCGAGAGCCGCGGTGGCCGCCGGGGAAATTACGGCTCCTTCCTTACTTGCGAGAGATGTGCATAAACTCTGCATTACACCCAGTGGCGCTCATGTGAGTTACGTGAGACTGAGAGTATGTGTACGCGGGACCGCGCGTAGTCGATCGGTCGGCAGATCGCAAGAGAAGTGACGCGCAACGCCGTTGCCACCGAACAGGAGGATCTCTCCCTCCTTTTCTCTTTAGAAAGGGTCACTCGCGTACGAATACCTGTAATGACGGTCAAGGCTCGGGGGAGATCGGCTGAAGGGCGATATCTCGTTTCAAAGATGAACCTTGAAGAGCCGATCTCGAAGTCTCGTCCAGTACGCCATCGACAGGCTGCCAACGCGCGACATAGAGCGCGAATTTCAGCCCGTTGCGGTATACGTCGCGACGATGTCGGTCGTAGCGTATTGAAACTACACGGGAGAGAAGAGAAAGAGAGGGAGAGAGGAAGAGCGAGACGCGTTCCTTCCTTCGCTCGACCACGCGGCGGGAATGAGAGCCACCGCTCGTATAGAATGCATGACTCGAAGACGCGGCGGCGGCCCCGAGGTTCCCTCAGTGGCGTAAGTACCCACCTCAGACGACGTTACATCGAACTACCTCTTTCCCCGTGTTCCCTCTCGATAGCCACCCCCTCCCTCCCTCGCAGCTACCGCTACGCGCGCGCTGTCTCTCCTCCCCGCGCGTCACCCCCGTCTAAATCTCCGTTGTTTATTGCAAATGGATTCCGCATCATGATGCTCGGGTGGCTGCGGGCCACCCTATTCAAATACCTCGTGTTTCCTCGTCAGGGCCAACTCGGTTCCCTTGCCCACCCCCGCTGTGTTTCTCCGTTCTCCTCTCCCACCCTCTCTTCTCGTGCACGGGGTTGTTATTGCCGGCGGCGTGATTGCTCTCGCTCGAGATCTTTCGAATAATTTACTTTGCACGATACCACCACGACACACACCTCCTCCTCCGCGCCATCGTCTCCCTCGCCCTCGGGCTCGATCTCCTCTTTTTCTCTTCCATTTCCCTTCCTCTACCGGAGAGAAAGAGGTATCCCTCTCTCGTTCTTCTCTCACTCTCTCTCTTTTTTTTTCCTTTTTGCTGGGGTAATCGAGGATCGAGAGCACTCGGCCGGAAGATCAGAAAAATTGAGTGGATCCTAATACGGGAACGCGATTATCCGAATTAGCGGATCCCGCCGCGGGTTCTGGGCCGATCTTCATCGCCTCCTCTCCCCGTTCCGCCTGACCTCTCGAGTTTCTAACACGCGATTGCTACTTTCTCGAATTGCCGCATACGTTGCAATGAGGTGAGTAGCACGGACTAGCCGCGCTGCTCCTCGGATCATTTCATTCTCTTTCTCTCTCTCTCTCTCTCTCTCTCTCTCTCTCGTCGAGCAACTTTCGCCTTTTTGGGTTCTTTCCGGACGGTCAGAGTTGGCTATTTCGCCGGTAGACACGGGAAGTCGAATCGGGGATGTAACTCATGAGTGAAACTCGGGAAACGGGACGCGAGTCCATCATTGTGATCGGCACACTCGCGACAAAAACGCGATATCGGAAAGGAAGAGACGACGTTGGCAGCGGCGGCAGCATAGTGGCGGAGGGAACGATATACGGTAGCTTGGGATTTTCTGTTAACATGTTAAGCGGCTTGAGTATCGCCGGCGCATTTTTCCGACTTGGATCCGCGCAGCCGTGCGCCGCGAAGAACAGCGTGGGAAACTGCATCGACGGCGAGAAACGGAACGGAGGATCTCTCTCGTCGGGTTACGACGAGGGCGAAGGGTAGCGTGCCGTTGTGCTGAGAGAGAGAGGAAGAGAGAGAGAGAGACTGACCTTGGTAGTTTTGCCAGAAGGCCGACGCCTGGCTGCCAATGAGATCCAGCCCGTATCCCCATGCGGGCTTCTCCGGCGTCGACGGTTGCTGAGAAGGACGCGGCACTTGCGCCTCCCGGTACTGCTGAGCCGCTGCCTGTTGCTGCTGAAGGGGTTGCTGCGGCGGCTGTTGCTGCGAGGGCTGCTGCTGCGACTGGGAATGCACCGGGCTAGCCTCCGGCGGCTCCGAACTCGTGCGCGCTTCCGCCGTGACGTTCTCTGCGTCATAGAGATAGCAGTCGCTCGATTATCGCGCTGCCCGTCACGACGACATATCCGTCTCTATGAACCGTTCCTCGACGCGGCGTTCGGAGGTGCATCGACACTCCCAATCGCCACGGCGAGCAAAGGACCCAGGTAGTGAGGCAAATCTCGCACGCTCGACAAGGAGAGAGACAGAGAGAGAAAAAGAGAGAGGGAAAAATAGAAAAAAAGATAGAGACGTTATAAAGTACGCGAGAATAAACGCCAGAGTTCGAACACGCGTCGGTGGCAAAGTAAGGCTCGTCAGCAGGCCGTAAAATACCGTAACCGTAGCACCGTCTGTGCTGACTCACCCCGACTCGCGCGACGCCAGTGTTGGAGCGACTTGTCGTTTGATTCGAAATTAGTATCGCGACTCTGGATCTGACAGGGTTAATCAGCGGTACCGAAATGACGACGACGACGACGACGACGACGACGACGACGACGACGGCGGCGGCGGTAGTGGCGACGACGATGACAGTGGCGATGGCGATGGCGGCGATAGTAGCGACGGCAGCAGCAGCAACAGCAGCGGCAGCGGCAGCAACGGAGGTAAAACACGAAAACAACGTGGTGGATGAGGAACCGGTGAAGGGAGGAGGGGGGAGAAGGTGCCGGTGAGGGTGGAGAGGAAATGGGAGCCAGCATGAAACATTATATCGGGAATAAGAGATTTCACTTAAAGGGTTTCGCGTTCGAGTTTTGGTAGTGACAGGGAAGAGGGGTGGCGTGCCGCTTGTTGCTGCTACTTCTACTGCCGGAGGAGGATCACGGACGGGGGGAGACGAGAGACAGGGGGGAGTGCGAGACGCGCGGTGCCTAGTCACAAGATGCCACAGGAGGGTGACCGGGGGAGAAGGGTGACGCGGGGGAGAAGGCTGCCATCAGCCAGCCGACGACGGAGAGGGATTGCACCGCCGGCAGGGGGATAAGTAAGGAATCATATTCTGCCGGGTGTCAGGCTGTTTGCTCTGCCTCGGCGTATTAATTAATTTATTCCGAGATCACCAGTGGCCCCGGGGCTCTTAACGGAGAAACTAGCGACGAGCTCGCGAAATCCCGAGAAAACCCGTCCATTTGCAGCCGCGATAGTCCCTCTCTCTCTCTCTCTCTCTCTCTCTCTCTCTCTCTTTGCCTCTCTTGTTCTCTCTTTCGCGTCTTTCTCCTCCTCCGTCTCTCTTGGCGTTTAATCTGAACGTGCTGCAAAGATCGGCGATTATCGTTGTCTATTGCGACACAAGTTAAGGAAGATTGTCGCGCAGTGTTCTCTTGATACGATAATAATCGATCTCAGCAATACTTCACCGCGATCGGTGATCTCGGTGATTCCTTCGTGAGTATTTCTACACGGACGGGGTGTACAAATATTTGTTGTACGTACCGGTGATCGCTCTGACTTGCTCGGAGGATGCCCCCGTGGCTTTGAGCGCCTCCTCCAACTGTGTGCGCCTCTTGACCTCCAGGTCCAGCTGCTCCTGCAGCCGTTTCCTCGCTCTCCGTTCCTTCTTTAACCGTTTCTGGTAGACCACTGTAAACAGAAAGCAGTGACGCGAACTGAGCGCGAGTCGCAACGTTGGTACGCGGTTTGCATCGGCAAAAATCGTCGCGGCGCGCGTGTCGAGATCTCGTCGAGGTGTAAGACCTGATGACGGAGAACACGCGCCAAATTCGCGCTCTGACCGTCCTCGTCCCCCAGGTGGCGGAACCCCGGCGTGGTCAAAGTCCGATGGAATTATCCTGGCGTATCATTCTACCGCGGGGGGCTTCACACCGAGCGCGGCGGGCCCCAAAACTCAAAGTACACGTCTAAGCGGGGGTCCGATCGTCTCGTCAGCTACCGTGCGGATCCGACGGTAGCCGGCCGAGTCGGACGCCCGACTCGAATCGTTCATCGATTCTTCAGTGAGAGTCACGCCGCTAAAAAGATACCGGGGGTTTGAAGATATCGGACCAGCGCGCGCGTGTTCGCTTTATATATGAACGCTCAGCGCGAGAGCGTGAATATACTCTCTAAAGAGTTAGGCCGAATTTAACGACTCATTTTGCGGCACTTGAAATCTTAAATTATTTTTTGGTAAAATTGTAGCTGTTCGTAATCAAAGATATACAAAGTGTTAAAGTGATGCGCCTTGTCATTTGGGAGAAAATGGCCCAACAGCTAGCAGAATTGGCCTATTTTGCTGGTCACAGCGGGATCAATCGACGATTAAGTTGGTCGGAGTTTGGTAAAAGTTACTCTAAATTTATAAATATTATTAGCATTTATAATACGTACTATATTTTATTGATAAAGACTTTTATCTCTTTCATTTCTTTCAACATTTCCTATGCATTTTCTGTAAGAGTTCTAACGATGCCATTTATTTTGACAGAATACGTATCCTTTTGCGCCATTTTCTCCCAAATGGTGAGACACATCATTTTGACATGTATATATCTTTAAACTATTCATGAATAGCTACAATTTTGTAAACAAATAATTTAAGATTTCGAATGCCACAAAATGAAGAGCTAAAAGCTCGTAAGACCTTGGCCGCTTTCTTTTTCGCGATGAATTTTTGCTCAAAACGAATAAAGAGTAGCAGTATTCTCATTCGAGGTGATAGTGAAAATATTGCCACTCGAAATGAAAAGAGAAAATGTCTCGTTCATTAGAATGGATTCTGACTCAATGTGAGCGAATGTTTCAATCGATTTCCAGCATACAAAATTTCTTGAGATATAATTGGTATCCCAGCTTGATTTCCTAAAATAATGATGGGTTTAGAAGTGCTTAGAAATGTAATGTTTCAAACGCGCGATTCTTTAAGTGGGGAAGCCCAAAATTTTCCCAAATGTTTTCTTCATTTTACATTAGAACTAGATATGAAAATGTTGATGCGTTCAATAAAATGCTAAAGGTATCTTATAAATTTTTGACAAATATTTTATTTGTCGATTTTTATTCCATTAAATACAATAATTGATGTAAAAATTTGATTCCCAATTTCACAGTGGAGTAACCAATTTTGGGACAAGTTTAGGAATTCTAATCAATGAAAATCAATGCTGCATCCGGTAAAATCTTGGAAAATTTCCTTGCGGGTTAAAGCGAATATGTTTCTGCGACGGTAGAGTACACTCGTTTGTGAAACGGTTTCAACACCTTTTGGGATATCTCCACAAACGCATCCGACATTTAATTTAAGAACGTGTTTTACGAGTTACTTAAAATCAAATTCTCCCATTCGACGTCGGGTTGCGGGCGCGAAGTGCGTCGAAGAAAATTTGTTGAAACCATTTCGCAAACGGGCGTACATCAGATTTATTCTTGAATTCATCTGTCATGAGTAGATGATAAATTGTATATAAATTGTATGAAAAATAATACAATAAATTAATCAATGAGAAATATGAGTTACACGAAGAATCGCTCGAATTGGAGTGATGGCCGTAAGACAAGATTAGTTGTGACAGCAGAGGAGAGGAAGAGACAGACAGTTCATTATTTAGCGTTTTCATCGATGATGCGTGCTACAAATGTCGACGTGTTCTTACGTGTCGCAAAATATACAAGATTTTATAGCACCGTGTTTTATCCACAATTAGTTTGACGAGGCAGAGAGGCGGCGCATAATATGGAGCGCACGGTCCGATTGACGGATTCGCAATCTACCGTAAAATTTCTCGCCTCGTGCACCGCTCAAGATCGCGCGTCACGCGGCACCGATTGCGCTCCAGAGAGCTTGTTGTCGGTCGCGGGCGCTGCGACACTGTGGGTAGCTCATTATTCGTTGTTTTCGCGCCGATCATCCGTCCGTCACCACACCCTCTGAGACTCGCCTTCTGCATTTTCGCAGTCTCGCTCTGCGCGTCGCCGACGCGGTACGCAAAGTCAATCCAGCGTGATGCGTACGCACAAATTTGCGTTCGAACTTGCAGACACACACACGCGCGCACACGCACAGGTACACGTAAGAGAGCGCGCATTCGACACGGCGACGGGTCGTGTACGGGGCCCGATGCGCTCGTACACGCAGGCCGATCAGTTTGATCGGTCGAGTCCCGTGTCGGCGTCTTTGAGCGGCTTTCTCCCTCTGCCCGCTTTAATTATTTTCCGTCATTGTGAGCCGCCGCGTCCGGCCATTGTATCTTCGCCGGGCGCATCCCGGCCCTCGACACTTTCGACTCGATCTCTCGCGAACTCCGGCTTTGTTGTCGACGGTCCTGCCTTGATCGCTCGGATCCTCGTCGCGATCCGAGTTCGACGAATAATGGCGCAGCGCGTTCGTCAGTTCGTTCGTTCGTTCGTTCGTTCGTTCGTTCGTTCGTCTGACCGTCGGTCGAGACGTTGACCGGTTCTTGCGCGCGTTCGATTCCCGCGAAAAAGTACCTCGGGGGCAAAAAGATTAGGTCTCGATCGGGAGAGCGCCGCCCGCTCGATTCGGCCCCAACGAACCCGGGAACCCTCCCGGGATGATATTGGCAGGCACAACGGTCCGCGCAGAAATTTCCCAAGATTTTTCCAGATGCAGCACGGATTCTTTCTGATCTGAACATCCAAATTTGTCCTAAAATTCGTTATCCCACATCTGCAATATTAATTGGTAGTCCCATTCTTGTTCTAAATATGATTTTCTGTTTAGGATTGAAACAGAAATACTACAGAAACACGTTTTTTCAGTCGATAATATCGGTATATTTTTATGGTATCAAGTAGGAAATATTATTTTTATGCCAATTATTGTTTCGATAAAATAAAATATGAAGAGATGAAACATTTTTAAAACGCTCTATGTATTTTTCACTCTATAACAAAATTATTTAAAAAGTCAAGTTTAATTCAATTTTAACGTAAAACCAGCAAAAAATATTAAAAAAACTTTAGGTTTCCATACTTGGGAAACATCACACTTCACCAGAACTCATAATTATTTTGGGAAACCATACTGAATCCCAATTTGTATCCAGTCCAAAAAATTTTCTGTACGGGGGATGTCGCACATTTAAGATTGACGATCCGCGAAAAGAAAGTCGTGTCATCCTTTCTCGAGTTGGAGTATCGTATCCGAGAGGTCTGTTTGATTTCCCCTTTCTTTTTGTCGACGTCAACAATACGCGATATATCCACGCGCGTGTACGTCGGTTGGTTTCTCCGCGCTTGGTCGAGCGACGCAGCGAGATGGATCTGTCGCGATTCCTCTCGAAGGCAACTCTCGGCGGAAGACGGTAGCTGCTCGCGTTCTCGGCTCAACATTACCCTACCCTGACAGGTAAGACGGTAGCGCGAGGCGTAGGTACCACGTCGCCGTGGGCGTCTTCGAGTACGACGACATTACCTTCCCTCGCGCGCGCTGCCGTACAGCATGGAGATTAGGCACGCGGCTTTAATCGCCCTACTCGCGTCATTTCTGGAACGGTAATCAGAGATCATATTGCTGCCGTGGAAGTAAATCGTCGAGCTCGCGCAAAGGCATCCATCCACTTTAGATGCAAATGTATTTCTTATTCGGCCACCGGCATCGCGCGAGAGTATCATACTTGTTCTCGAGTCGCTGCGAGTGCGATCAGACTCGTCACGGCGAGCGCAAGACGACGACGACGACGTCGTCGTCGTCGTCGTTGTTCCAGTCACTCCTGCGACCTCTGCGAAACTGGACGCGCCGTGATCTCGACGCGGTCGAGAGCGCGAGCGTTGTCGCGACTCGCGAAGGTGCGAAACAACGGCGGATGCCATCGACTCTGTGGTCGTAGCCACAGGTATCGCGATCCTATCGATCCCGTCTCGCAGGTGGCCACCGGTTGAGCATCACTGATACGTGATTGATTCCCGGCAGACAAGGCGCAGACAACCCCTTCGTCCCCTCTACCTCTTCACCATGGCCGTGCCCCTCCTTTTCTTCCCTGCCTATACCTCTCCATCTCCCTCTCGTGCACTCTTCTCCTTATCCACTTTGGCATAACGCGCCTCCGAGACGTTTCTCTTCGTTCCTTTTCTTTCGCTCTCTCTCCGCCGGTGTTTCGTCTCCTTTACCTTCTCTCTCTCCTCTTTCTTTCTCTCTCTCTCTCTCTCTCTCTCTCTCTTACGCGAAGCGAAACAAGGGTGGAGAGAAAGTGGGAGAGGGTGGGGGCGGGAGATGAGGGGGGGGAGGCGCGGAGGGAAGGAGGTTGAGGGACGGCGGCAAGGAGGAAGAAGGGGGCAGACTTCTCAGTGACGGGAGGGGCGGTGAGGAACGGGGAGAGAGGAGGAGAGAGAGAGAAAGAGAGAGAGAGAGAGAGAGAGAGAGAGAGAGACAGAGAGAGAGAGAGACAGAGAGAGCGAGAGAGAGAGAACAGCGCCGGGGTACGGGGGGACAGCATTATGATGCAAAGATGGCGCGGCGGCGGCACCCTAGAATTAGCTCGAGCACTCGCCATTGGCCGCTCAGCAAACCACTCCTTCGGTAACAACCGACTGCATACGTTGCATACTAAGGATACACGCGAGCCGGCAAAGAATTGCCCCGAATGGGGCTGCTCTCTTGGGTCCGACGTCGTCCACCTACGGTG